TGTTTTGGAGAAAATTCCATGGGCTGCTGAGAAGAATGTGTATTATGCTGTTGCTGGATGAGATACTCTGTTGATAGCTGTAAGCTCCATTAGGTCTATGGTGTTATTCAATTCTAGAGTTTCTTTGATGAATTTTTTTGTTTGGATGACCTATGTATTGGTGATAGAGGAGTATTGAAGTCTCCCACTATCACTGTGTTGAGGTATGTCTGTATTTTTAAGTCTAATAGTATACGTTTGATGAAGTTGGGTACACCAACATTGGGTGCATATAAGTTAAGAATTATTTCCTTTTGATGTATTGCTCCTTTTTATTAGTATGAGGTGACTTTCTTTTTTTCTTTTGACTAATTTAAGTTTTTTTATTATCATATTATTGTACTTGGGGTACATTGTGACATTTACAAAAGTTCTTATAATATATCATAATTGAATTTATCCCCTCTATCATTCTCCTTTATACTCCTTGCCCTCTATTTCTGGAATCATTTCAATATGTCTCATTTTTATTTTATCAGATATACGTATAGCTACTCCAACTTGTTTTGAGGAGCCAATATCTTGGTAAACCTTTTTTCCACCATTTCACTTTAAGCCAATGTTTATTTCTGTTTGTGAGGTTGGTTTCTTGTAAATAACTAATTGTTGGGTCTTTCTTTTTAATCCAGTTTGCCAGTCAGTGTCTATTGATGGGGGAGTTGAGGCCATTAACATTCAGTGTTTATTTTGAGAGGTATGTGGTGATTCTTTCTATTTAGTTCTTTTGTTGCATAAAGGGGTGTGCGTGGTGTGTGTGTGCATGCGCAATGCTATGCTACTCTGTAATTACTTGTCTGCTCTTCTTTTGAGATTTAATAAATTCCATTCTTTTATGACTATGTTGATTTTCATCTTCTGTGTGTAGATTCCTTTGAGTATCTTCTGGAGTGCTGATTTAGGGGTCATGTTGTTTTGAGCTTACGTTTATATGAAATTTGATTTTTTTTCTCTTTGAGCCTTCAATATTCTTGTTCTCTGTGCTAATTCATTTAACTATGGTATGCCATGGAGAGATTTTATTTTGGTTTTATCTGTTTGGTGTCCTAGAGACATTGTGCAATTGGATGGGTATCTGTTTCTCAAAATTTGGGAAGTTTTCTTCTATTATTTTGTTGATTATGTTTCATATACCTTTAGCTTACACCTCTTCTTCTTCTTCTTCAGTGCTCCTGATTTGTAGGTTTGGTCTTTTGATGGAGTTACTGAGTTCGTGCATGCTCCTTTTATAATTCTTCAGTCTTTTGCCTAAGTATTCTTCTGTTTTTTCTTTAATATCTATTGTGTCTTTGAGCCCTAAAGTTATTTGTTTCATTTGTTCTAGTCTGCTGGAGTAGTTTTCAACTTTGTTTTTCATTTGAATTAAAGAGATTTTTGTTTTGGGGGTTTATATCTGATTCCTTTTTTTTCTTTGAGACTTTCCATATCTTGGCAGAGTAGCCAGATTCCCCTATTCTTGCTATCAAGAACATAAAGTTTTCTTTTAGGCTTGTTAGAGCTCAGAGATCGGGGTCTATCAACTCTTGGTCATCTTGCCTAGAATTTTTATATTAAAAGCAGAGTTGTGATGGTAGAGAGAAGAATCAGGTTAACAAACAAGAAGCTATAGGGAGAAGAGTCAGAGGAAGGTATTTCAGCCAGCCTTGAGACCACATTTACAGTGAGACAATTTTTTGAGCTGTGAATGAACTTTAAAACTTTGATATGCTAATTGGTGTATATAGTCCATTAAATTGTTTTATGTTGTAGCTATGGCCTTTTAATTTAGTGCTAAAATAAATGAGCTTGGGGAGTTGGAAAGATATCTATCCAAACTAGAAACCCAAGAAAGCACTGAAACTATTTTGTCATGCCCTTGAATTATGGAGAGCCCATATTGTAAATACATTTACCTAGGTCATTTATTTTAAATAAAATACACAAAAGTCAAAATAAAAAAGTCAGGTATGCAACATGAAGATTAAAATATGTACTTACCACATAGGTTGGAAATATTAATGAACAGTAGGGGAGTGATCCATCTCAAAATAGACTTCATGAATAGATCACAAATGCAACCAGAGAACTCAGACCAAAAAAAAAAAAAAAAAAAGGAGGGAGTTGGAGTGCAGAGATGTTCACTAAGGCAAGAGAAGTTGACTCATAGGAAAGGACTTTCTCAAAGGGCCCATATGGGTAACTAGCACCATAATTCTAAGGACTACTAATCAGTTGTGAGACTGTTGTGAATCCATTTTCTAAAATCATGTAATGTCAAACAAAAACATAGAGACCAAGACCAATCTTTTTTTTAAAAGTATGATAAATCAAAAATAAAATAAAAAATTTAAAAAACAAAAGTGGTTTGGGAATTTTAGATACCCACATGCTAAAGAATGAAATTGGGCCCTTGTTTTATAGCATATTCTGAGACTATATCAAACTGAAAGACTTATGTACAGTGGAGGAAAGAACACTGTGAAAGGCAACCTTCAAAATGGAGGAAAATATTTGTAAATAATTTATCTGTAAGGGGTTAATACCTGAAATGCATTTTAAAATCACACCTTTGCATAATAACCATATTAAAAGTAGGCTAAATATTTAAATAGGCATTTGTCCAAAAATGGACAACTAGAATAAAAAAGAAGGCATTGTTCACAGAGACAAGGGAGCCCAGCTTTATAGTGGATGAAACAAAAAGATTTTTTTGACAGTATTGGGGTTTGAATTAGGGCTTCACACTTGCAAGGCAGGCACTCAACATTGAGCCATGCATCCAGCCTTCATTAAAAAAATTTAAGCAACTTCAATCTTAAAAAAAAGACTAGTTTTATCTAGCTGCTGAAGCCACTCACAAATCAGAGCTCTCCAGCGCTCACAGCACCATAAATGCCAATCAACTTTCCTTCAAGACTACTTACATAGTTTTTCTTCTTTTCCCCAATAAAATTTCACATTTCATCTCTCAGACATACTAGAGGTCACCTCAGCATGTACATGTAGGATTTTTCGTGGCACTGAGGTTTGAACTCTAGGCTTCATGCTTGCTAGGCAGGTACCATACCACTTGAGCCACTCAGCCAGTCCTAGCACATTATTAATACGAGGGGATTTCATTGTGATAATCCCATACATGTGTACCTTGAACAAGTTTACTCCTTTCGTTATATTCTATTCTCCCTCTCCCTTTTCCTCCCCACACCACTTTTGAATAGACTGTCATTTCTCTTTTATATATTCTTGGCACTTTTATCAGGGATGAGTTGACTAGAATGTGTGGATTTATTTCTAGGCTCTCTATTATGCTCTGTTGGCTTGTGCATCTGCATTTATGCTGGAACCATACTATCTGATTACTGTAGCTTTGGAATGTATTTTGAAATAAGAAAATGTGCTGCTTCCAGCATTGTCCTTTTTCTTCAAGACTGATATTACTGCTCTTGGTCTTTTGTGTTCCCAATGTAAATTTCAGAATTGTTTTTTTTTCTATTTCTGTAAAAAATGTAATTGGGGACTTTGATAGGTGTTGTCTTGAATCTGTAGAATGTTTGGGATTTGTGGACATTTTAGCAATATCAAGCCTTCCAATCCAGGGTCATATGATGTATCTTTTCATCTGCTAATGCCCTTTCATCAATAGCACCTTAGTATACAAGTCTTCCACTTCACTGAATTTATTCCAAGGTGTATTATTTGTTTTTGGTGCTATTATAAGTGAAAATATTTACTTATTTTCTTTTCCCAGTACTTCAATAAGCAAATAGAAATTCAGTTGACTTTGGGATATTGCCTTTTCTTTTGAGACAGGGTCTCAGTGTGTCCAAGAATTCCTGATGCTTCTTCCTCAGCCTTCTGAATGCTGGGATTACAGGCATGGGTTACTATGCCTGGTGAAATGTTGACTTCTTATCTTACAACTTTACAATATTTGTTTTTAACACTGATAATTTTAGAATGGTGTTTGTAGTGTTGATTTCTCTATGTAAGTTCATGCCATACACAAACAAGGACAGTTTTATTTCTTGCATTCCAATTTGGATGTCTTTTATGTTTTTTTCCTTGCCTAATTGCTCTGGATAAGATTTACAGTACTATCATGAATAGAAATAGTGAGAGTGAGTATCCTTGTCATTATATATATATATATATACATATATATACATATATATATGTATTAAGTAGGGTATGGATTTAATGTGTGGATCTTGCTGTTTGGAAATAGTCAGTGGTGTAGGTGGATCAGACATTTTGCTGCCATTGTGTATAGATGGAGATGGTTGTCCTACCTGGTATCTTCTGACTGCCACTTGGGGTACATCTAGCCTGCGACTGGGTAAGGGTGAGGACTATGTATAAAAATTTTAAAAGTAAGTGACCATTGAGGATATGTATGCCTGGAAGGTAATAATGTATAAGTAAATTCATAAGGAGCAGTGTGATGACAATAAAGTTTTCATAGGGCAGGACCAGTGAAGGAACAGAACTTAAAATAGAAGTCGTTAGAATTTAAAGTGATAGGAAAGGCAATGCACTAAAAGAATGTTAGGGCAAGTCTGGGAAGGTCATTGAAAAGAGAGTTTGAACTCCTGATGATCACATATCTATCAAGTGAAATATTAAAAACAATCAAAGTGAGGAAACATCAATTAAGATACTTTTGCATAGTCCAGCAAAAATGAATGAAATATTGAGTTGAATTACAAGGTAGCAGGTATAGACTATACACTTAGGAAATGTGGCTGATTAAAGAAAAGATGTAGATAATTTAGAACTTTTGGGGAGATGATGGTAATCATGATTGTTCATAGAAGAGAAAGTTTAGAGGAAGAACCTGCAGATAGACAGCAAAGAAATTTAATATCCAATAAATAGTATGATATTGGCTAAATATGAATGTTTGATGATATCTTAGAAGTAAGGATAAAATTGAAGACTTAATTTAGAAATTAATTATGATTACATCTTCTTATACTCCTTCTTAGAGTCATTGTTTTTACCAAGGACATGCTGCAGAGATTCCAAGATCAGTTGTGACACTAAGTACCTGCTCAGGACTCAGGTAATAGCATATTCTGTAGGTATGCATTGAGATCTTAGGTCAACCCTTAATTTTCAGAATCTTTTTGAAGGATAGAGTGATATGAAGACATATAGACTTTGTCTTTCAACTCATGTACTTTCCTTACCTCCTCCACTTCCTCCTACTCTTTCTCATATTTTCTTTGTCTTCTTTATTGTTTACAATCATAACATTTGTACAGAATGACCTTCAACTAACAAGAAGAGTATAGCCACAGCAGAACCACAACTCTTCTTAAATATTGTATAGAGGAAAGATAGGTATAAGATTTGGCTTGAAACCTAATCAAATAAGATGGAATGATTTGTAAGATTAGATTACAATGGGTACTATAAAATTTATATTTCTCAGGGGGAAATCTATACTAATTATATTTTTATTTCTTTTTTTGTTGGTGAATACTTAGGGGATTATTGCAATTAGAGAATTCCAGTTATGGAATTGAACCATTAGAATCTTCAGCTACATATGAACATATGTTTTATGAAGTAAAGAATAATAAAATTGATTATTCCCCCTTGAAAGAACACTACCCTAAGCTTGATCAGTCCTACCGGATTCTTGTGAAACCTGAAGTGAGTAACCACTTTTATCATCTTCCTTTGTGTTATCCTTGAAAAGTTATTCACATTGAAATTTTGAGATTTGCTATATTAGGTAAACAAACTTAAGCTGGTAATGTTGCATCAAGAACTTTTGTTGTAGGACCTTTATTTTAAAATATTGTATTTATTCAGACAGTACTGCAAAATGTCTGCACAACTACATTTGATCATATGATTAAATAATGTGATTGAATAAATGAATTTCTATCCATACATTCTCATCAACACTGGATCACATTAAAGGGAAGTAAACAAAATAACAATGTATGAAGCTTAAATGTAATATATGACAAATTCCATTTCGCTCTCCCCTTACTTTGCTGTTATTTTGGCAAAGGTATTGATATGAGTGCAGGTTAACAAAATTGACCTTTCAGAAACCATAACCATGATTAACTATTTTAATTTATAGAAGTGAAACTTCATTTTTACTGTAACTAAGGAGCAGTCACAAACTGTATGTTGCTATCTGAAAACTGTCTTCATGGTGTGATACATTACACATTTGAAGGAAATGTTTACCATGGAAATTGAGCATAATGCAGAAGGTAAATTTAAAAAACTTTAAAGGATTCCATTTTTCCCCTGTAGGAGGAGAAAAATCTAAAAGATGGACATGCTTAGGGAAAGACAAATAACAAACCACTTAGAACCATCCCCCTCCAATGAATCAACAATAAGAGAAGTATTGGAATAGGTATAGATAACTTACATTGCCATTTGCCTGAGTTTGAATTCCAGGATGATCAGTCTGTCAGTCACAAGAGCTTGAATGAGTAAGGTAACCACAGGGTCTGACAGCCCTGAAGCTGGCAGGTCCAGTGCAGTTTCTCTTCTCTGCTGTGCAGAAGTCAGTGTTCTGTTTGCTTCCCTCCACTATCTGGCATACTTGGAGGAGATGGCTAGGTTTTGATATTTGCCATCCCTCTCTATGGAAGGAAGGGGAACTAGGGAAATCCAGGGAACTGCAGGACCTGGATTCAGAGCTCTCAATCCCATCTGGCAGCAAACCACACTTAGCTAGGAGGCAGATCCAGAAGACAAGCGCCTTGCCAACTAAAGGCTCAGAGCTCTGTTTCCACAGCCATCCTTAGGCAATGGGGCTCAGTCCTTGCCGGATGGTGAGGCCACTGACCACCATGTCTATCACTGTTGCTTAAACTTCTCAGCAGGTCCATGTTAGACTCTCACTGTTTCCACAACCATCTCTTGTGGCTGTCTCCCACCCAGTCACTGTGGCAGGCTCCCAGAGCTGCAGTTGTGTAATCTAGGGGAAAAAGAAGCAAAGCAAACAAAAAGAGGATCATGAAAGTAAAAGGGGGACTACTAGGGAGGATGGAAGGAAAGGGAAAGGGGGAGAGAGAAAGGAAGGATACAAAGATACATAGCTTACTTCGCGTCTAAAAATATGATCCTAAACCAGAAATTGAGATAGGTTATCAGAAACTTGGTGTAGATTGTAGTACTTAGGAAGTGTGTATAAAGGCAGACATAGGAGGAGAATTGGGTGAAAATATCCTGAGAAAGTATTTAGCTATCCTCCCCTAACAACTGATTGAAAATTAGAGGTTATTTTGTTTTGGGAGTCCTTTAAGTGGTGACATCAGGCACAGGTGTTCTATAGTCTTTTATGACTGAGAGGAAAAACCTTACTAAAGCTATGTGATTAAATTAAATGTGTGACACTGGATATTGGGAACCAGTCTTATATCTTCTAAGAAGATATGGTTTTATTCTCTGGGAATAAATCCAGCTTAAGAGAAAATACCTAACCATATTGACAGCAAAGTTTTCCAAAAAGGAACCCAGAGAGATTACACTCTATTAGGACCTCAGCCCATAAACCTCAATATAGTCACAGATGCTGGAGAAAGCTGTTTGATGATAAATTCTTACCATGAAAAAGCAATAGTCACATGATGAAACAATATAATGTGAAAGACAGAGACATGAAAAAAATCAGTTAAAGTTTGAGGTTCCACCTGGTTGTTGCTGTTTACTTTCCTTTGTTGAGCCTACATTTCATAAGCTTTTCATCAGGTCAATGTTGGACACTTCTGCTTCAAGACAGAATTTATGCCATCCCTACAGGCAACTGGCTTGTCTGTTCTGTCTTTTTTCCATGATTATATATACTGCCTCATCTTGACTTATTAGAAAAAAACTACAAAAATAAATGTTTTGTGGTTTATTTAGAAATAATACAGAAAAGATTGCTGTTATTTTTGGTGAAAAAATCAATTTTGTGTAGTTTATTTCAATCTAAATAAAATGTGAATTTTCTTTAAAAAAAAAGTTTGAGGTTCCAAAGAATGATCTTTAATATAAAGATATGAGAAAATATTTTACACACTAAAGAATAGGATGCTATTAAAAATAAAATCAACAGATTCATAATAGTTCAAAATTTAAAAATATAATAAAATTTAAAACTTCAATGGAATGTTCACAAGATAAAACTGCAGAAGTCACATAGAAAGAAAGGGAAAAAGAAAATGACAGGGAAATTTTAGAATAGGAAAATTAAATTAGTAATGTAGATTTAAAAAACCACAAATTCCATTAAGGATTAAAAGGCAAAAATGTCACAAAACAATCCAAGAATAATTCTCAGAATTAGTTAGGGTAACTTTTTGGACTGATACTTAAAAAGCTGGCTTCTCCTACGTGACCAAGATGCAGAATCACATGAAATCTCCCATCAGCAATACAAAAAGTTGAAAGGAAATACCACAATTACTTTATAGGAAACAAAGTCTCTCCTACTACATAATTATGAACCCAGCCAAAACTATATAAATGAGAATTTTTGGTTCATATCTATTTCTTTGTGCTCTAATGAAAAATGTCCCTCTTAATGCATAAAACGAAGAAATCACAGTTAAACAGAAAAAACCCCACTCTAATTCTATACTGAATAAAAATAGTAGACAACTACAATTTTAATGAAATTCCCAAGGAATCATGACTGAATACAGTGAATTATCAGCAAATTTTAAATTGTGAGAACAGTTTTCTCAAACTATTTTCTTAATTAGAATCATATTATGTCAAATACCATTATATTTTGAAGCAAGCAATCTCCAAAGTTTAGTGGTTTAATGTAAGGTTTATGTTTTGTTCATATGAAGTCCAAAGAGGGTTCAACTCTCCTGGTTGATTCTCTTCCTAGCTTTGACTCAGGGCTTCTAAAAGTTGCCCAGTAGATTCTTTGAATCTGGTCAGGATTAAGTAAGAGAGAAAAATACCAGATTCAAATGGAATGATTTAACAATGTTGTTATTACATGCTCAAAAATACCATACCTTCCTCTCTTTACTTATATTCCATAATTCTATTTCTTTCAATAGTTAAAGGAATAAACACTATTACCTCCTTTTGAAAACAGGAAGCAGAAGCTAGGCACTGCGGCTTCCATAATTCTAAATACTCAAAAGGCAGAGATTGGGGAGGACCTCGGTCAGAAGCCAGCCCTGGCAGACAGTCCATGAGACCCTCTCTCAACCAATAAAAGCTGGGTGTGATGGCACTCACTTGTCATTCCAATTTCATAGAAAGTGTCAATAGGAGGATCATGGTCCAGCTAGAGAGTTTAAGTCATTACCTTAGGAAGTCCTCCGTTAAGTGGTGACAGTATAATACATATCCAGACAGTGTGAGCAGACGTATAATATTCAGTTCTCTTGTGGCCTCCCTCTACATAGCCTCTTAAAAGATCCTTTGCAGTGTTAGGAAACAAATATGAGAGAATTATAGAACAATTTTAAGAATTAAAGATACCATAGAATTAGTGAACGACAAAACAGACACTGCTAAAACCCAATCTGTGATATTAAAATCAGGTTTAAAGACATTGAGCAGAAAATGAAATAGAGGAAGCAATGAAAGTAGGAAGAAACTAAAAACATGAGGTAATTCTGTGTCAATTTAGCTGGACCAACAACCCTAAAGAGTTGGACAAATATTATTGTGGGTGGTTTTGGGTGATATTAACACCAGTGGACTTGGAGTGTATTAGATTGTTTTCCAAAACGTGAGACAGCATCATTTAATCAGTCGGAGGCTGGATAGAACAAAAGTCTGACCCTCTTCTGAGTAAGAAAGAAATCTCCAGCAGGTGGTCTTTGGATCCAACTGCAACTGCAATATTGGGTCATTCTGGGCCTAACAGCCTTAATACCTTGAATGAATCTTTAGGTCTTTCTGCATCTCCACCCTTTCTGCCCATTCTCCAGATTTTGGGCTAGTCAATTTCTTTTGATAAATATACGCATGTACTGATCCTGCTTCTCTGGAGAACTTGAGCTGAAAGTATGGAAAACTGAAAGTAGAAATTCAGAATACCAAAAGTTGTCATCATAAAAAAGTAAAAAAAATTTCCAACATTTTTTAGAAAAAAAATCTTTGTTGACATAAAGAAACCTGGAAAATGAAAAAAAATTCCAAGAAACCCTGATTCAATTGGCAACACCATGATATGATTTGACTAATATGCTGCATTTTATAAATAATAAATAATCCTATAGTCATCTTAACCTCAAAGAAAGTCACTCACAAAAGTAAAAAAACTGTTCAAATGAAGTGCTTTTAAAATAGTCAAATACTTTCTCTGGCTTCATTATGAAGGATAAAAATTTCCCAAAATTTTTTATCTAGCCAAGTTCCCATTATAATATAACAACATTTCTTTTTTTTTTTCAAGAATTCAGAGGCAATAGATAATATCTACTGGATTTTGTGGCAAAAAATATTACTTAAATTACTACAGTGAAACAGGAATCAAATCACATAATTTAACAGATGTACCTACATTCATGGTCTATTGCCATTCTTTCATTATGCCTTTGTAGCATAAAAGCAACATAAACAAAATGTAAACAAATGAGCTTGTTATGTTCTAATGAAATATTATTTACAAAACACTGGCTGGTGTTGCTGACCCTTGGCATAGAAATTTGTATGGTCTTTTGGCACAGAATAGACACATAGAACAGTAGACCAGAACAGAAAAATCAAACAGAAATGGAAGAAAGGCTTCCAAACTCATTTTACAAAGCCAGCATTACCCTGACACCAAAATCAGATGAGGACAAAATAAGAAAAGAAAATTATAGCCTAATTCCCTTGATGAACACAGACAAAAGAACCTTCAACAAAACATTTGAAAACAGAATTCAATAGCACATGATCAAGTTGATTTCATACCAGGGATGCAAGGATGGTTCAACATATGCAAATCAAAAAAACAGAGTATAACACACAACACAATCAAGCACAAAAATCACATGATGGTCTCAATAAATGCAGAAAAATCCTGACAAAATTCAAAATCTCCTCATGATAAAAATCCCTGAAGAAAATCAGAATAGACACTTCATACTTCATCATAATAAAGGCCATATATGACAGACCAATAGCCAACATTACTGAATGTAGGAATATTGAAAGCATTTCCTCTAAAATCAGGAATGAGACAAGGTTGTGCGTCTCTACACTCTTAATCAATATGGGGCCTGAATTCTTAGACGAGCAATAAGACAAGAGAGAAATAAAAGGGATACAAATAGGAAAGGAAGTAGTCAAATTATCCCTACTTATTACAGAAGATATGATCCTATACTTAAAAGATCCTAAAAGGCTTCACCAAAAGATTTCAGATCTTATAAACACTTTCATCAAAGTAGCAGGATACAAAACCAACATACAAAACCCAATAGCTTTTCTATAGACCAATAATGTACATACTGAAAAAGAAATTAGGAAAACAATCCCATTCACAATAACCTCAAAAAATACCTAGGAAAAAAAGTTACCCAAAGATGTTAAAAACCTCTACAATGAAAAATATAAAACCTGAAGATGAAAGAATTAATATTGTTGAAATGGTATTATTACTGAAAGCAATCTACTGATTCAATGCAATTGCCATTAAAATTCCAATGCCAGTCTTCACAGAACTAGCAGCACAAAAGACCCTGTAATGGTTAATTTTGATTGCTGATTTGATTGGATTAAAAATCATGTAGGGTATTAGGAAAGCACATCTCTGGGTGGGCTTGAGATTGTGTTTCCAGAGAGGATTAACTAAGGGGCAGGAAGAAGTCTTGCCCTAAATATGGGCCTCACCAACCCATTGCCTGGTTGCACTGATGGAATTAAAGGGAAAAAAAGAAATCCTGAATACTGCAGGCATAGTCTCTCTCCTTTCTCTCTCCTCTCTTTCTCTCTCCACCCCCCTCGCTCCCTCTGTCTTCCTCTTTCCCTCTCTCCTGTCTACCATGGCTTGAGATGCTCTAATCTGCCACACCCTCTCCTCCATGATGGACTAAAACCTCTGAGCAGAGGGTCCAGAAATAACCGCACACAGCTATCGCTATCTAATCCTAAATAAAGGTGGCAAAAACATATGTTGTAGAAAAGACAGCTTTTTAAACAAATGGTGCTGGGGAAAGTGGATATCCATCCACATGTAGAAGACTGAAACTACATTCCTATCTTTCATCCTGTACAAAATTAATTTAAAATACATAAATATTTTAGCATAAGACCTAAAACTGTGAAACTAGTATAGAAAAACATAGGGAAAAACACTAGAAGACATAAGCAGAGGCAACAATTTTCTGAATAGGAATTTCTTATTTACAATAGTTTAGGAAATAAGAGCAAGAATCAACAAGTGGGATTGCATCAAATATAAGTTTCTGCACAGCAAACAACTATTTTTTTTCATGTGTGTTTAATGCTAATTTGCCACTTACCATTTTAATTTGCAATTGTAATATTTCTGGTTACTAAATGTGTTATTTCCTTTCTTTTCTCTTTTGTTCATTTCTTTGATATTCTCTCATAAAAAGTTCTTTATCCCCATGTGTCATTTTTCGCACCAACCCATTTTTAGTTGTTTGTATTTTTCCTTTAATTTTTTATTTTGTAATTTATTATTGTTGTACTGGGGTTACACTGTGACATTTACAAATTTTCTTGCAATTTATCATAGTTGAATTCACCTCCTCCATCATTCTCCTTTATTCTCTCTCTATCCATACCAAGGGACTATTAACAGAGTGAAGAGGCAACCTGCCGAATAAGAGAAAATCCTTACCAGGTATTCATCCAACAGGGAATATATCCAGAGTACATACAGAGCTCAAAAAATAAATGCCAAAAGAGCAAACAGTCCAATCAATAAACGGGAAATAAACTGATACTTCTCAAAAGAAGTACAAATGGCCAATAAATACATGAAAAAATGTTCAACATCTTTAACCACTAGGGAGATGCAAACCAAAATTACATAGTTATAATGGTTAACACCAAGAACCAAAACCAAAAAATGTTGGTGAAGGTGTTACGGAAGAGAAACTTATACATCGTTGGTGGGAATTCCCACCATAGTGAAGTGGCTATGAAAAACACTGTGGAGGATCCTCTAAAAATAGAACCTACCGTGTGATTCAGCTATACTAGTCCTAGGTATATACCCAGAGGTAATCAAAGTCAGCATATAATTGATGTGCTTGCATACCTGTGATTATCATGGCACTATTTAGTCTATGGGAATCAGCCTAGGTGCCCATAAACTGATGAATGGGTTAAAAAAATGTTGCATATATACACAATGGAGTGCATTATTCAGCCATAAAGAAGAATAAAATCATGTCTTATGTAGGGAAATGGATGGCACTAGAGATCATCATGTTAAGTGAAATAAGCCAGATTATTCAAAAAAGACATAATTTTGCATATGTAGAATCTAGAGTTTTAAAAAATGACTTGAAAGTATAAAGGGGATGCTTTGGGAAGGGAAATGGGGTCCAGTAGTAAAGGGTATAGGGATAAAAGAGGATAATAGGAGGTGAATATGATCAAAGTATGTGATACACATGTTTGAAAATAGTACAATGGAACCCATTACTTCTTACAATTCACATTCTTAATAAAAAAGATCAAGAAAAATAGGAATGGTAAAATGAAAAAGATTAAAAATACCAAACATAGGCAAGGTTGTGGGCAATTGGAACTCCTATTAATTTTTGGTGAGAATGTATAATGATCAAATCAGTTAAGAAAGTCATTTGTTTCATTCATATGACTGTGCATGCCCATAATTACTATATGACTTACGTATTATTCTAGTATTTACCAAGAAAAATGAAGCACTATATGACTCTACAAAGACATGCACATGGGTTCAGTCCAGCTTTATTTATAGTTGCTAAAATGTATAAGCAATCTAAACAGCAATCAAGAGGTGAACACCAACTGTTATGTTTCTCTAAAATGGCATACAATTTGGCAAAACTAATGAACTACTAATCGTGGCAATATAGAGAAATGCTAAAGAAGATAGTATGCACAACATGACTCCATTTATCTGAACTGTAGACACTTCCTGCCTGTAAGTGGGAGAAAGTAAATTATTGGTTATCTTGAACTACGTGGGCTGTTGGCATGGAAGAGAGCAATGGAAATGCTCCTTTTCTACTTGGTGAAGATGGTTACACGAGGGCATACGCTGTGTATCTACATACATGAAGAGGGTAGATTTTATTGAGTTAACATAATCTAGCGACAGTGCAAAAATAATGAGAAAATGCAGGTAACATTTAGGAGAAAGATGACAGAAGTTTTTAATCCTCAAGCTTGGTGGGGTAGGGGACACGGGAAGGCCACAGGAATACTTGGAGAGGAAAGCTGCATGGATTCCTCCCTTGTTTCAGTGTCTTTTTTTTAATATTCTAATTAACAAGAATATGAAGTAAAATGCTTCTGAGTTGTTCTTATTTGAAATTTTACCTGCTAAGTGAACATTCATTTTCTTATTTTGTCATAACATAACTCTCTATACCTATATCTAAGTCTGCATCTCTGTGTTTCTGTGGCTCTGTGTTTATAAGTGTGTGTATTATCTCTGTGAGCATATAGACTATATCAATATGTATTTACTGAATGGTAATGATAACATAAAAAATTGAAAGCATTTTATTTAATTTTATATACTTTATTTCACAGAAATATTCAGATATTGCACAATCAAAAAGAACCATGAAAATGAGACTCTTTGTGGATAAAGCACTGGTAGGCATTATTGATCTAGTTTTTAATACCTTTCTTTTGCATTAAAGTATAGGGAAAGTATGACTACAGAACTTCCATTGTTTTCAATACAGATATATTTTACCTTGTTCAAAATATGTGCCACAGTACAGCAAGACATAAAAATGTGCTGTCAGTTGCCCTTACACTGATATAAAGGGACCAAAATTTATCCATTGCTTTCCAAATCAGTTTAGCATTATAGCAATAATGTACGTAAGTTCACAGATAAGGGTTCTAAGATACCAGAGTTCTACTGCTACACAGTTGTTAAATGTCTTCTGTTCCAAAGGAAGCTATTTCATTAAATACCAAATTGGAGAGCCTATTAAAATAAACATTCCTTATATGGTTATTTTATGTTTAATAATTGCTTGGCTCTTGTGGTGGGAGTTCCATATTTTAAAAACAGAATCATTCATTAGAAGGTTTAATTGATTTGTGCTTTTCATAAGTACTGAAAGCTGTGGATGTTAGCATTTGTTTTTATCTCCAGTATTGAGTTTGTTTCTGTTAATCTCTGTTCTAGTTCCCCACTCCAGTGGTTCTCTAGCGGTTTCAATTAGTGGTATTAACTTATCACAAGGTGGATTTAATGTTATACCACTTCCTGAAAAATGTAAAAGCCTTATGATGGTGAGATTCCATTTCATCCCAATCGGTCATTGTGATTTTGCTGTATTTTATGTTTCCATGTATCATAAACTACAAAATAATTATTCTAAATTCAGTATCAAATTATTGTTTAAAGAAATCAGAGAAAGGACAAATGTATTTAATTTTTCTCCACAAATATGCCATTTCCAAAGCTTTTTATACATTCTAATATGTCTGCATTTCAATTGCTCTTGAGCCTTTTGGATTCTCTCCAGCTTTCTTTAGTAATTGTCTTACTGTCACCATTGCTTGTTAAATGTTCTATTTTGAAATAATTCGGACTTTCAGAGAACTCTATTATCATCTTATTTATTGTTTTATTGTGCTCCTTCATCTCTTCTGCTGTCTGCATTGGAGTTTGAAAGTAAGTTGTAAATCATATTGAGGAACTTATGCTGAAATGCTTGACTATGTATTAACCTAGGATAAAAGTGTTATATCACAGGCAGAGTGATCAATCTAAGTAAAAATAGCATTGTTAAAACACTTTTACTAAACTCATTGTGACTTAATTGCATTGTGTTTGGCTAAAATGTGAGCTAAGGGACAATATGTTTTACAGTCAAAGAATAATTCTATAGCTAAAATGAGGCAACTTATATAAAACACACATATATATAATTTTATATACAAGTTTCTATATGTGTACAATTATACCCAGTATTTGCTTAGATTTTTCAAATCCTATACATCTTTACTATTAATTGACAGTAATCTAGGTTATTAAGGGGATTACTTGCAATCTCACCAATACTTATGTTTCTGTCAGTTAAATCTTGCTTTATGTATTGTGTAGTCATATTTTAGAATGTTCCCATCTTTCTGGTGAATTGAATGTTTTATTAATATTTTGTAAAAATTGTGTCCTTTCTTCACCTTTAAGTTTTATTTTCATCATTTTATTATATGAATTAATATCATTATCACAAAACTTATACTTTTTCCTCTAGGGTCTTCTAGGTCATGTCTCTTCATCCTTTCACTCTAAATATTTGCAAGGTTCTTATATTTGGGGGTATTATCTACTTTGCATATATTGGATTTTGTTGCTTTTGAAATTTAGTGTTTGGTCTGTTCGTACTTTGTGATTGCTGATATATTTGCATTCATTCCCATAATCGTCTTCTTGCTTTATGTTTCTGTTTGATTTTTATAAGCTTAGTCTTGAAAAGGAGCATGTTCACTCATCTCTCATATACAGCAATGTGGAAGTGTACAACATGGGTGACTGGGAAGCTTGCATAGAGTGAAATAGCACAGTGCATAAACCATCTCTAGAGACCTTGATTTCAGGGTTATTTTGTGTTAGGAGTCTCCAGCTGACTTCCTGGCAATTCTTAAAGGTCCTGAGCTGCTTACTTTTATGTTTCTATTAAACACTTAGAAATGTATGCACATACACAATTATAAACGTTTTAGAGGCAATAATACAATTCTTGTTTCCTTGAATAAAGACATATTCTTGAAATTGTTTATTGTGATGGTACTCAGGATTCAGTGTTTAGAAAGTACTTTGTTTATCTAGGATATATATGGATTCTGTTTCACTGGAATGATGACAAATGATGACAGTATAGGATAGAAAAGTTAATTTAGTCATTCACTTAAACAGAGATTTGATTCCTTGCTTTTATCCTATCATAAGCAATACATTCTTGAAACCTACCACATTGGCCCCTAATTTCTGTATCTTCACAGAGGAAGATAATTTTTTCATTAGTATTTTTAATCAGGATATATTCATTGTACAGGAGGAATTCATTGTGACAATTGCAAATAGGCTTCTATTGTACATTGGCTAGATCACCCCCTCCATCCCTCTCCCTTGGCGCCCTCCCTGCCCCACTCAAAACTGTTGCAAGAGGTTTCTTTGTTCTATTTTTATTCACAAGAAGTCCATCAATCATATTCCAAGAGGAAGATAATTGCAATTCTCTTATTTTAATATAGTTTATTAATTTTCAAAGACTGTAGGCTTATGTCTAAAACATAGTAAACATTTGATTTTTTTCCTTTTTTTGCATTACTGGGGTTTTGAAGTTAAGGGCTTGTATTTACTTGCCAGGCAGATAGATACTCTACCACTCGAGCCATACCTCCATCCCTTTTGGGCTTCAGTTATTTTTCAGGTAGGGTCTCCCAAGTTTTCCCAAACTGGCTTTGAACTGCAATCCTCCTAGATATGCCTCCTGAATAGCTGGGCTTATAGGTGGTGTACACCACCACATCCAGCTTGTTGGTTGAGATGAGTATCTTGCTATCTTTTCTCCCAGGCTGACCTCAAACCGATCTTCCCAATTTCTGCCTTCTGAGTAGCTGGCATGTACCCAGCAACATTTGGTAAATCTTAATTTTACTTTTGCCTCTTGAACTGAGAAGCACATTATTTTAGCTTTTATATTTGTAATGTGGTAGTTTAGAGCTGGGTATGGTGGTGCATACATGTAATCCCAGTTACTCAGGAGGCAGAGATCAGGAGGATCATGGCTCAAGGTCAGCCCAGGCAAAAAGTTAGCCAGTTGTGGAGGCACATGCCTGTGATCTTGGCTACATGGGTGGCATAGGTAGGAAGATAGCAGTCTAGATCTGTCCTTGGGCAAAAATTCAAGACTTTGTCTGAAAAAATAACTAAAGCAAAAAAGAGCTGAGGGTGTGACTCATGGTAGAGCACCTGCTTAGCAAGTACAAGGCCCCAGGTTCAGAACTCCAGTACTGCCAAAAAAAAAATAATAAAAAATATGGTATTTTAATCATTTACACTAGTGATTAAGAAACAAAATTTGTTTTTCAGTATGATTATATGGGCTCTGAGATTGGAGTTGCAACTCAGAAAATTGTCCTGATCTTTGGTCTTATCAACACTGTGAGTACTGATGTTTCATATTTAAATAATAATTATTCATATTAATGCATTAGCATGGTTTGACTAAATAGATTTTGCATTTTTATAAAAAGTATACTCCTGCCATCTACTTTCATCCATCAATGGATTCATCTCCAAAAAGTAGTAAGTAGAATATACTAGTATTCTGTATGGAGATAAAATATTGATGGGTATCTAAGACTGCCTACTGAGCATCCATCTTCTCTTTTCAGATGTTTTCTCAGATCAACATGACAATTATGCTATCATCTTTGGAGGTCTGGTCAGATAAAAATAGGATTTCAACAGATGGGGATGCTGATGAAGTGCTCCAAAGGTTTTTGAAATGGAAACAAAAAAGTTTCTCTCAAAGGCCCAACGATATGGCATACTTACTACTGTAAGCATTTATTCATACTGATAGGGGGTTGGTCAAATTATTTTATATGTTATCTATCAAAATCACGTACCAAGTTGCTCCTGTATAATTATAAGACACATTTGAAAAGACTGGGGTAAATATTGTTTTGGCAAAGTGCGAAACATAAAAATCTGATAACCATGTAACACAAATTAAATCACAGTAGGCCATTGTTCCCATATTAGATCAGTAACTTATAGAAATAGTATTGTAAGCTGAGAAGTGGAAAGAATTGAAAGAAACACAGGACCTCTATGATGGCAACAACTGACTATGATGCTGAGTGTAGCACAAAACATTAAAATAGTAAATAACTGAAGCAGACCTCTATCCTCTCCCTTCTTGCATTTCTCCATTGACCTAAGACATGTTTATTTAGCTCCTTGTTCTGTATCTTTCAAGAGTCTTTGTGTAAATTTTTGTTTTACTTATTTGATTATATGTAAAAAGCAAAAGTAAAATAATAAAGATCTTAAGCAATATGGAATGAACTATACGTCTGCTGCTGCCTCCTGTTGAATGTAAGGTCAGGTTTAGGGATTCAAAAACAAAGCTAGTGGGCTAAAATATGTGAGGACACATTCTACATGAGATCTCTGTTTTCCTTGGTGCAACTGTGGATGTTCTCCTTCCTCCTTTTTCTCTCCTCTGGTCCAACACCTTGTACACATTTTTAGCATTCATTAACTATGTGCAAATCTTGGCAATAAACTACATTGACTTTGAGATTTTAGAATTATGTCCATTCAGTGATAACAACAGTGAAGGTTGTTTTTTGTGAGAGAAATACTAAATGTTATGAATAATGCCATATTAACAAAATATTAATTATTACCCTAAAGAAGAAACCTGTATTATCTCAGTTTCTGTATTCCATAAGAGGTTACAATGATTCTAAAAATAAGGAATAACAGGGTGAAGATTAAGTTTTTTGGAAGGATTTTTGTAGTGCTAAGTTTGGGGCTGAATATCTTTTTTAAAAAGTTTTTTATTTTATTCATATGTGCATACAATGTTTGGGTCATTTTCTCCCCCTTTCCCCCACACTGCCATCTCCCTTACCCCCACCCCACTCCCTCCCTTACCCCCTTACCCCTCACTACCCGGCAGAAACTATTTTGCCCTTATCTCTAATTTTGTTGAAGAGAGAGTATAAGCAATAATAGGAAGGAACAAGGGTTTTTGCTAGTTGAGATAAGGATAGCTATACAGGGAGTTGACTCGCATTAATTTCCTGTGCATGTGTGTTACCTTCTAGGTTAATTCTTCTTGATCTAACCTTTTCTCTAGTTTCTGGTCCCCTTCTCCTATTGGCCTCAGTTGGTTCAAAGTATCTGCTTTAGTTTCTCTGCATTGAGGGCTATAAATACTATCTAGTTTTTCAGGTGTTTTACCTATCCTCATACCTCCCTTGTGTGCTCTCGCTTTATCATGTGATCAAAGTCCAATCCCCTTGTTGTGTTTGCCCTTGATCTAATGTCCACATATGAGGGAGAACATATGATTTTCGGCCTTCTGAGCCTGACTAACCTCACTCAGGATGATGTTCTCCAGTTCCATCCATTTACCAGCGAATGATAACATTTCGTTCTACTTCATGGCTGCATAAAATTCCATTGTGTACAGATACCACATTTTCTTAATCCATTCATCAGTAGTGTGGCATCTTGGCTGTTACTATAACTTGGCTATTGTGAATAGTGCTGCAATAAACATGGGTGTGCAGGTGCCTCTGGAGTAACCTGTATCACAGTCTTTTGGGTATATCCCCAGGAGTGGTATTGCTGGATCATATGGTAGATCAGTGTTTACCTTTTTAAGTAGCCTCCAAATATTTTTCCAGAGTGATTGTACTAGTTTACATTCCCACCAACAGTGTAAGAGGGTTCCTTTTTCCCCGCATCCTCGCCAACACTGTTAGTGGTGCTGCTAATGACGGCCATTTCTTTTGTTGAGCAGAAGCTTTTTAGTTTTATGAAGTCCCATTTATCTGTGCTATCTCTTAGTTGCTGTGCTGCTGGGGTTTCATTGAGAAAGTTCTTACCTATTAATTTCAGAGTATTTCCTACTGTTTCCTGAACCAACTTTAGAGTTTGGGGTCTGATATTAAGATCCTTGATCCATTTTGAGTTAATATTGGTATAGGGTGATATACATGGATCTAGTTTCAGTTTTTTGCAGACTGCTAACCACTTTTCCCAGCAGATTTTATTGAAGAGGCTGTCTTTTCTTCATCGTATATTTTTAGTATTTTTGTCAAAGTCAAGTTGGTTATAGTTGTGTGGCTTCACATCTGGGTCCTCTATTCTGTTCCACTGGTCTTCATGTCTGTTTTTGTGCCAGTACCATACTGTCTTTATTATTATTGCTTTGTAATATAGTTTGAAGTCAGGTATTGTGATACCTCCTGCATTGTTCTTTTGACTGAGTATTGCCTTGGCTATTCGTGGCCTCTTGTGTTTCCATATAAATTTAGTGGTAGATTTTTCAATCTCTTTAATGAATGTCATTGGAATTTTGATGGGAATTGCATTAAACATGTAGATTACTTTTGGGAGTATAGATATTTTTTCTATGTTGATTCTACCAATCCATGAGCATGGGAGATCTCTCCACTTTCTATAGTCTTCCTTAATCTCTTTCTTCAGAAGTGTTTAGTTTTCATTGTAGAGGTCTTTCACATCTTTTGTTAGGTTTAAACCTATGTATTTGATTTTTTTTGAGGCTATTGTAAATGGAATTGTTTTCATATATTCTTTTTCCGTTTGCTCATTGTTAGCGTATAGAAATGCTAATGATTTTTCTATGTTGATTTTATATCCTGCTACCTTGCTGTAGCTATTGATGATGTCTAGAAGCTTCTGAGTAGAGTTTTTTGGGTCTTTAAGGTATAGGATCATGTCATCTGCAAATAGGGATATTTTGACAGTTTCTTTACCTATTTGTATTCCTTTTATTCCTTCTTCTTGCCTAATTGCTCTGGCTAGGAATTCCAGTACTATGTTGAAAAGGAGTGGAGATAGTGGGCATCCTTGTCTAGTTCCTGATTTTAGAGGGAATGGTTTCAGTTTTTCTCCATTAAGTATAATGCTGGCTGTAGGTTTGTCATATATAGCTTTTATAATGTTGAGGTACTTTCCTTCTATTCCTAGTTTTCTTAGAGCTTTTATCATGAAATGGTGTTGGATCTTATCAAAGGCTTTTTCTGCATCTATTGAGATGATCAAGTGGTTTTTGTCTTTGCTTCTGTTAATGTGGTTTATTACTTTATTGATTTTCGTATGTTGAACCACCTGCATTCCTGGGATGAAGCCTACTTGGTCGTGGTGAATGATCTTTTTGATGTGTTGTTGAATTTGGTTTGCCATTATTTTATTGAGGATTTTTGCATCAATGTTCATTAAGGAGATTGGCCTATAGTTCTCCTTTTTGGAGGTGTCTTTGCCTGGTTTTGGGATAAGTGTAATACTGGCTTCATAAAATGTGTTAGGCAGTTTTCCTTCCCTTTCTATTTCATGGAACAGTTTAAGGAGGGTTGGTATCAGTTCTTCTTTAAAGGTCTGATAGAATTCAGCAGAGAATCCATCAGGTCCTGGACTTTTCTTTTTGGGGAGACTCTTGATTGCTGCTTCAATTTCATTTTGTGTTATAGATCTATTCAGGTGATTAATTTCCTCTTGGTTCAGTTTTGGATGATCATATGTATCTAGAAATCTGTCCATTTCTTTAAGATTTTTGAATTTATTTGAATATAGGTTCTTGAAGTAGTCTCTGATGATTTCCTGGACTTCCATGGTGTTTGTTGTTATCTCCCTTTTGCATTCCTGATTCTACTAATTTGGTTTTTTCTCTCCTCATTTTAGTCAGGTTTGCCAGGGGTCTGTGATCTTGTTTATTTTTTCAAAGAACCAACTTTTTTTTCATTAATTCTTTGTATGGTTTTTTGGTTTCTATTTCATTGATTTCAGCTCTTATTTTTATTATTTCTCTCCTTCTATTTTTTTGGGATTTGCTTGTTCTTGTTTTTCTAGAGTTTGAGATGTATCATTAGGTCATTGATTTGGGATCTTTCAGTCTTTTTAATATATGCACTCATGGCTATAAACTTTCCTCTCAGGACTGCCTTTGCTGTGTCCCATAGGTTCCAGTAGGTTGTGTTTTCATTTTCATTGACTTCCAGGAACTTTTTAATTTCCTCTTTTATTTCATCAGTGATCCATTGTTCATTAAGCAATGAGTTATTCAGTTTCCAGCTGTTTGCATGTTTTTTGTCTTTACTTTTGTTGTTGAGTTCTAGTTTTATTGCATTGTGATCAGATAGAATGCATGGTATAATTTCTATTTTCTTATATTTGCTGAGGCTTGCTTTGTGCCCTAGGATATGATCTATTTTGGAGAAGGTTCCATGGGCTGCTGAGAAGAATGTATATTGTGTAGAAGTTGGATGAAATGTTCTGTAGACATCAAGTAGGTCCATTTGATCTATGGTATATTTTAGATCTAGTATTTCTTTATTGATTTTTTTGTTTGGATGACCTATCCATTGATGATAATGGGGTGTTAAAGTCTCCCACAACCACTGTGTTTGAGTTAATATATGCTTTTAGATCCTTTAGGGTATATTTCATGAAATTGGGTGTGTTGACATTGGGTGCATATAGGTTGATAGTTGTTATTGCATTTTGGTCTATTTCCCTTTTATTAGTATGGAATGTCCTTCTTTATCTCATTTGATTAATGTAGGCTTGAAGTCTTCTTTGTCAGAGATAAGTATTGCTACCCCTGCCTGTTTTTGGGGGCCATTGTCTTAGTAAATCTTCTTCCAGCCTTTCATCCTAAGTCTATGTTTATTTCTGTCAGTGAGATGGGTCTCCTGTAAGGAACAAATTGTTGGATCTTCATTTTTAATCCAGTTCGTCAAACATTGCCTTTTGATGGGTGAATTAAGTCCATTAACAACAAGTGTTAGTACTGATAGGTATGTGGTGATTCCTGTCATTTAGTTTTCTTAGTTGTTTGAAAGTTTGGTTTTGTACCTAAGTTGAGGTTACTCTCTACTTTCTTGCTTTTTCTTTTCCTGTAGTTTGGTGTTGCCTGCCCTTTCATGGTTAAGTTGGGTTGCACTTTCTGAGTGCAGAATCCCTTGAAGAATCTTTTGTAGTGGTGGCTTTGTGGTCATGTATTGTTTTAGTTTCTACTTATCATGGAAGACTTTTATTGCTCCATCTATTTTGAATGTTAGTTTTGCTGGGTAGAGTATCCTACGGTTGAAGTTATTTTCATTCAGTGCCTGGAAGATCTCACCCCAAGCTCTTCTTGCTTTTAATGTTTCTGTTGAGAAGTCCACTGTGATTTTGATGGATTTATTTTTGTATGTTATTTGTTTTTTCTCTCTTACAGCCTTCAATATTCTTTCTCGGGTCTCTGTACTTGTTTTAATGATAATATTCCATGGGGTAGTTCTGTTTTAGTCTGGTTTGTTTGGTGATCTGGAGGTCTCTTGCATCTGTATGGGAATAGATTTCTCTAGATTTGGGAAATTTTCTGTTATTATTTGTTGAATATATTATACATTCCCTTTGCTTGCACCTCTTCTCCTTCTTCAATGCCCATGATTCTCAGGTTTGTTCTTTTGAGGGAGTCAGTGAGTTCTTCCATTTTCTTCTCACAGGTCTTGAGTTGTTTAACTAGTAGTTCTTTGGTTTTTTCCTTTAATTACCATTTCATCTTCGAGTTCTGAGATTCTGTCTTCTGTTTGTTCTATTCTGATGGATTGACCTTCCATTTTGTTTTGTAATTCTGTTTGTTCTTTTTTCTGAAGTTTTCCATATCCTGAGTCCCTTCCTCTTTAATGTTGTCTATTTTAGGCCTCAGTTCATTTATTTCTTTATTAATTGTGTTTTGTTTCAGTTTGGTATTTATACAGTGCTTCTATGGTTTCTTTTATTTCTTCTTGTGCTTTCTCAAATTCTCTATTTTTGTTGTCTTCGAAGTTCTTGAGTGTACATTTTGTTTGACCATATCCAGTATTATCTGTATAAAATTCTCATTAATTACCTGCAGGATTTTGCCTTTTAGGTTGTTCTTGTGGGCTTCATTGGGTTCTTTGGTATAGTTTATCTTCATTTTGTTGGAGTCTGGATCTGAGTATCTGTTTTCTTCATTTCCCTCTGGTTCTTGTACTAATGTTTTGCTGTGGGGAAACTGGTTTCCCTGTTTTTTCTGTCTTCCCATCATTGCCCTTGGTGTTGTTATTGTCCCTGTACTGTGTGCAATTAAGTATTTGCTAGCTTGTAATATTAACAATGGTGATATTTAGGATGGAAGGGTGAGTGGAGAGGGAAAGCAAAGAGGTTAAAGAAAAGGGAAAAAACAAATAAACAAACAAGTAAAAAACCAAAACAAACAAACAAAAGTTTCAAAGATATAAACAGGGAGAGATAGTGTACTAATCAACAGTAAACTAAACAGACATTAGGAGACAGAGAGAGGGTTGAAAAAAAATTCTCCAACTTCAAATGCAATAAAGTTTCAGTCTTAATAATTTTGGTGTTAGTTCCTCAGCCTCCAATCCTGGAGATGGTGTCTCAGAAGTAGTTCTGTCATTGTCTCATCAAAGGGGAAAAGAACCAATAAAACAAAACAAAACAGCACCACAAAGTGTCCCAAGTTCAAATGCAATACAGTTTCAGTAAGTGGTTCAGCATGCAGGTGTATTCCAGTTGTCTCATCAAAGGAAGAGAGAAAAAAAAAGAGTCTGGAGACAGTTCTTTGAATGGCTACCTGAGGCTGCGGCTCACCTGCCCGCTGTGGCAGCCTGCTGTTGCTGGAGTCTTTATATATGCAGATATCAGGAGTGGGCTTAATACTCACCTGGCCCCGCAGACTTTGTTTACTCAGAGTTCTCCTGTGAGCTACCACTTCTACAAGCTTTCCCCTCTCCAAACACACTGGGAGAGGTGACACTGCACCAGCTTTCTCAGGCCTGTGTGTTTATTTACAGTTCACGTGGGAAGTGGGCCTTCCCCCTCTCCTGTGGAGTTTTCCTCCCACTACCACTTTTACAAACTTTCCCGCTCCTGATTGCTGGGCGTGTGCCACCACTCCTGCCTTCTCTGGCCTGGCTTGTTTATTTATAGTTCTGTGAGGGATTTCCCCTCCGCCCTCTTCAGCACTCAGGGTGCCCCACCCTCTTTGCAACATGTCTTTTTGTTATTGCTTATTATTCAGTTTCTCTTTTTTCACTGGGTGGGGTCAGTCTGTCCAGGGGGCTATGCCCAAGGTTATCTGTGGGAGTACTGCGTGCCACTTCACTCACCTTGTGGTCTGCATCTTCCCAAGTGGTCTGGGTGCTGGTGTCTGGCGGTGCAGGAGCCCTCCTGGTATCTCCATTTAATGTGAAGTGGAGATGCTCTGCATGGGCTGGGGGTGTGGAGGAGTCAAAGTTTTGCCTCTTCTTGATGGTTTTTCCTGTAAAGTGTATCTCCAGCATCTCTTGAAGATTTTACTTTAGGAAGCACACTTTCTGCTTCCTCCCTCTAGCTGCCATCTTGGAATCTCTCTGGGGGCTGAATATCTTATGATGTTAAGTAACCTTTAGAACTTAACTTCATACGATCTATGAAAGAAAATGCATTTGGATTTTAAAAAATTATTAGTAAATGATTAACAAAATAAGATATAATATATAATTTGAAGTATTCATGTTTAAAAAAAGTATAGCTTTCCTAAGAAGTCCAATTTGTAAAAATGTCATTATCAATATTTTGAAATGCATTTATTAACAAGAAAACATTTTTTATGTAGTTATAAGGACCATCCTGATTATGTGGGAGCAACATATCATGGAACAGCCTGTGATCCAAGGTTTGCAGCAGGAATTGCTCTGGTATGCATTTTATTACCCTCTCCTCAACAATGTAAGTTTTAGAAAGTTTATACCTATCTCAATAAACAAAAGTCCATATAATGTACCTATCACAGTGTCTTGGCACATCTTCATCCTTCAAAAACTGAAGCTCTATTTTAATGAAACAAACTGTCTTTTGTCCCTAAGAACCACTACTGTACTTTCTGTTTCTATCAGCTTAACAACTTTAGATTCCTCCTAAAAGTGGGATCATACAGTATATGTCTTTTTTGACTGGCTTATTTCATGGAACATGATGTTTTCAAGGTTTACCCATATTGTAACATGTGACAAGGCTTCCTTATTTGTGTGGCTGAATAATATTTAGGTCACATTTTCCTTAATTCATTCTGCAGGTGGACATTGAGACTATTTTCATATCTGGTTATTATTCATAAAGCTGCAAAGAACATGGGAGTGCAAATATTTCTTTGAGGTCCTAATATCAGCTATTTTGGATATATACCCGGAAGTGACATAGCTGGATCAGGTTAATTCTAATGTTAATATTGTGAGGAACACTGACTTCTCTGTAGTGGTGTCACCAATTTACCATCCCATGAACAATTTATATTTTGTTAGCCACATCCTCACCAAAACTTATTTTCTGTTTAATTTTGGTTCACAGAGATATCCTCACGGGTGTGATGTGACAACTTATTTTGGTTTTGATTGGCATTTCTATGACTTGTGATTATGAAGTGCTTCCTCATGCACTTGCTGGCCTTTACAATGCATGCACCTAGAGAAATATCTACCCAAGTCTTCTGACTATTTTTAAAGTGGTTTATTTGTTGTATGTTGTTGAGTTGGAGTTCTGCATATTCTAGATATTAGCCTCTTATCAGATACATGATTTGCAAATAATTTCTCCTGTCTGGTAGATTGCCTTCATTTTGTTTTGATTATGCAAATTGAAGCAGAAAAAATTTAAAGTTTAATGTGCTCTCATTTTTCTATTTTTGCATTTGTTCCTGTGCTTTTGGAATCATATTCAAGAAATCATGACATGTCCTCTGGGAGTTTTATAATTTGGGATGTTTTATTAAAGTCCTTAATCCATTTTCAGTTAATTTTTAAATGTAGTGTAAACTAAGTGTCCATTTTCATGTTCTCTTGCATGTGGGTGTCCAGTTTTCTCAAAAGCATTTTTTGAAGAGCCTCTTTTCTCCCCAGTCAGTGGTATTGATAACTTTGTTGTAGATAATTTGAACATGTGCGCAGGATTTATTTCTAGGGTCTCTAGTCTATTCCATACATTTTTGTCTGTTTTAATAGCAGTACTATTATTTTGATTATTATGTTTGTAATATGTTTTGAAATCAGAAAATGTGAGTTCTCCAGTTTTCTTCCCCCTTTTCAAAATTGATATTGTTATTTGGATTTCCTTGAGATTCCATGTGGGTTTTTGAATTTTTTCAGTTTCTTCAAACAAACAAAAAGTGCTCTTGATGTGGGAGAGAGTGCACTGAATCTTCATAATGCTTTGGGTAGCAATGAAATATTAGCAGTATTAATTCTTCCAATTCATGTATATGACATGGCTTTCCTTTTATTTGTACCTTCTATAATTCATTGTAGCAACATTTAACAAGGTTCAATGTACAAGTCTTTCACTAGTACTAGTTTCAACAGTTTCTTTTTGTGGAATATTTAGGTTTTTATATAAGAGCCATGCTTTCTGAAACAGGTAACTGAAACACCTGCGTCCTCTAGGAATAAATCTCTCTTCTTCAGGTTGACTAATTCATCTAAGGTACTGTTGAATACTGTTTGCTAGTTTCGTTTTGGAGGTTTTTGCATCAATATTGACGAGGGACTTTTAAAAAATCTTTGTTTCTTTAAATTCTTTTCTATCATATTTCTATTCCTTAATATTTGATCTAATATCATTTCTTCCTGCTTGCTTAAGTTTAGTTTCTTCTTTTCCTTGTTTTTTGAAGTGGAGCATTATGTTGTTCATTTGAGATTGCTTTTCTTTCTTTTGCTGTTTTGGGGATTGAACCCAAGCCCTTGTATATGCCATTCTTTCTTTTTAATGTATGCATTTGCAGCTATAAGCTTCTCTATTAACCCTGTTTTATCTTGATCTCATGTTTTAGTATATGGCATTTTCATTTGTCTTAAGGTATTTTCTAATGCACACGTGTTTTCTTCGATTCATTACTTGTTAAGTCTGTTCTAATGTTCTTGCATATTTTTGAGTATTCAAGTCTTCATTCTCTAATGGATTTTTTGTTACATTTAATTGAGAATGCAAAAGATATTTTGCATAAATTTAATATTTAAAAACCTTTGGCCAGGAGTGGTGGTGCCCATCTGTAATCCTAGCTTCTCTGGAAGCAGAGGCAAGAGGATCACAAGTTTGAAGCCAACCATGGCATAAGTTAGTGAGCTCCTATCTCAAAAACAAAACAAAAACAAGAGTTTGGGTTGTTGTTCAAGTGATAGAGCATTTGCCTTACATGAGAGAGGCCCTGTGTTCTACCTCTAGTGCTACAAAAACAAAACAAATCAAAAAGTTGTTCCATGGGCTCATGGTCTATGCTGGACAGTATTCTGTGTGCACTGAAGATTAAGTGTCTCATTTGTAAGCTCTTCTGCATAGCTCTCACAGGTACAGTTGATAATATCGTATTGTTTATTGACATTTTATGTTTTGATTCTCCTTTCCTTGCATATATATTCCATAGATTTTTTGTGATTACAATTGAAATTACACAAAATATCTTAAAAATTTAAGTTCCTTGTGAACTAGTAAAGTTTAGCTTCAGTTACATACAAAACTCCATTTTACAGACCTGTACTCCATTTCATATTGTTTACATCACAATTACATAATTTACATTGAGTACTCATTTTGTATATTTTTCCTTTTTGTCTTCATTTTTGTTCTTCAAATTCTATACAATATTTATTTTTTTTATCTTTTTTCATATTTATTAACATATATTCATTGTATATAGGGGATTCATTGTACCAATTCCCAAGAGCCTTACATTGCACATTGGTTAGATTGCCCTCACCTTCTCACCCTGCAATCCTCTCCACACTCCACTTAAAGCAATTGTAAGAAGTTTCATCATTCTGTTTCATGTATGTGTATGAGGCCCATCAACCATATTCCCTCATCTTCATCTCCTTCAATCTCTCTCCCTCCATGTACCTATTTTGCTTATTGCACCTACTTTACAGTCCTGTCTTCATTTTTAACTCCAAAGTCAATGTATCCCAGGTGTGAAATGCTTCACTTTGGTCAGTTCAACCCCTTCCATTGCTCTCCCTTAACCTGTTCTTCTCACTCCCCATCATTCAACAGCTTCCGTTACCTATCTTTGTGTCCTCAGAGAGGTAATGCATTTTGATATTGTTGATGCTCTATCATTCTCTTTTCCTTTCCCTCCTCCTCCAAGTGCCATAGTGTAGTTCTACTATCACAAACACGGTCAACATATAAATGTGGATATGATCATATTTGCTTTTGTGTATGTCTTTTGGAACTTCTACATATGAGAGAAAGCATGCGGCCTTTGCTTTTGTCAACCTATTTTACTTCTCTTAATATGATGGCCTCCAATTCCATCTACTTACCTTCAAACCACATAGTTTTGTTCTTTTTATATTTAGTCATATGGGTATACATTGTTTGGGTCACCTATCCCCCCTGCTTCCAACCCCCCTCCCCCTGCCCCACCACCCTGCTTCCAGGCAGAACCTGTTCTGCCTTCTCATTCTCCAATTTTGTTGAAGAGAAAACACAATAGACAATAAGAAAGACATAATATTTTTGCTAGCTTGAGACATAGCTACACATATTCCAACCATTGCTTTCATGCACATGTGTATTACAACCAACATTGGTTCATTTCTACCAGACCTCTTCACTACTTCCTGGCAACCTTCCCACAGTGACCACTGCCAGTTTAAGATTACTATATTTGCTCCTGTATGTGAGTACATCAACCACATTCAAGTTTTAGGTTTCCTTCCCTTTCCCTATTCTTCCTGTATGCATTCTCCCTTAGTGAGTGACCCATGTCCAATAAGATTACTGCAATTGTTTTAGGTCTATAATCCACATATGAGGGAGAACATATGATTTTTAACCTTCTGAGCCTGGCTAAACTTGCTTAATGTTTTCCAGTTTACTTGTGAATGTGAAAATTTCATTCTTCTTTGTGGTTGAATAAAATTCCATGGTATAGAAATAACATATTTTCTTTTTTTTAAAATTTTTTATTCATATGTGCATACAATGCTTGGGTCATTTCTCCCCTCTTCCCTCACCCCCTCCCTTAACCCCTTGCCCCCTCCCTCTCCCCCTACCCCCTCACTACCTAGCAGAAACTATTTTGCCCTTATCTCTAATTTTGTTGAAGAGAGAGTATAAGCAATAATAGGAAGGACCAAGGGTTTTTGCTAGTTGAGATAAGGATAGCTATACAGGGAGTTGACTTGCATTGATTTCCTGTACATGAAAATAACACATTTTCTTATCCATTTGTCAGTAGTGGGACATCTTGGCTGTTTCCATAACTTGGCTATTGTGAATAGTGCTGCAATAAACATGGGTGTGCAGGTGCCTCTGGAGTAACTTGAATCACATTCCTTTGAGTATATCCCCAGGAGTGGGATTGCTGGATCATATGGTAGATCTATGTTTAGATTTTTAAGAAGCCTCCATATTGTTTTCCAGAGTAGTTGCACTAGCTTGCATTCCCACCAGCAGTGTATGAGGGTTCCTTTTCCCCTCATCCTCGCCTACATTTATTGCTGTTGGTGTTTTTGATGATAGCTATTCTAACAGGAGAGAGGGGGAATCTTAGTGTGGTTTTGATGTGTATTTCCTTTATGGCCAGAGATGGTGAGCATTTTTTCATGTGTTTTTTTGCCCATTTGAATTTCTTCTTTTGAAAAAGTTCTATTTTGCCCATTTCTTTATTGGTTCATTGATTTGGGGGAGTTTGGTTTTTTGAGTT